CCCCCCCCCCCCCGCCCGGATTGGGCCCAGGGCTGTGATGGCCGAGGGGTGAAGGCGTTGGACTCGTAAACCCAATACGGATTTCCTGCACAGGTTCGAATCCTGCTCACAGCGACGGATTTTACCCAACGCCCGGATACCCACAGCTGCAGCCCTTCGCTGGTGGGGTTCCCGGGAGAAGCTGACATGAGGTCATTGGCAGCCAGATGCTCCTCCCTCGCCCCAGGCAGGGACTGTGACGCCCTCGGGGCAGTGGCACTGATTTGCGGAATGAAAGGAACCCTATAACTCGCAGAGTAGTTATAAGAGTAGGTATGAATTTATTCAGCGCTGAGGTGCATGGGGGATATCTCCTCCGAAAAGCATGCCCACTTTTCTGATTGGGTTTTCCCTTTTTATCCTGTACAGACTATGTTTACACGATACGCTTAATACATATTAATTTCCTAACCCCGCTTATCTTCACTTCATATTACAATTAGCTCCATGGCCCTTTCAGTTCTTTGGCCACTTTTTGGGACTTCAAAATTGTTTCTTCTGGCTTAGGGTTCGAGGAATTTCCTTTATCCTGTGGTGCCTTTGTCTTTGTGTCTTGTTTGTGTATTCTAGCTCCTTATCTCATCTTGCAGTCTGACTTTTTTTCTTGTTCTTGTGGATTAGGGTGTCAGGGTCTGGTTTTTGTCAGACACCCCTTTTAGTTAAGCATTTTTTCTAATTCTTAATTTCTTTGTTTCAGCACACCGGCATTCTCCAGGTTTTGCAGACCCGGGAGAGGTGAGGAAAAGATACTGAGGGGAGTGGTATGGGGAGGTGGAACAAGGTTCCTGTCTTGCTGAGTGGACACCCCCTCATGGCCCTGTCCCACATCCTGGAGAGAGCAGTGCATCCCACCTCGTCGGTCCAACTCCCAGAAGAGGTGTTGGGCACCACCAGCCCTCCTTCCCAGCTGCTCCTCCCAGCACCGATGTTCACTTCTAGAGGCACCCCGAGACTCGTGGGGAAGGAAAACAAAATGCTCCAGTGCCCTGCAGCCTCCAGGCAGAGGAGGGAAAGAGCCTTGGGCATTTCTATGCAGGCTTGAGGTGCCGGGAGGCAGTGCTAGGCCTTTCCTAAGGAGCTCTGACAGCCCTGCATCCAGCAGGGAGGGGTCTGGGGACGCAGAAGGACATAGAGATGCTGGGAGTGGATCCCAGGGCTTCATGCATGCAAAGCAAGTGCTCTCCCACTGAGCTAGGTGCCCTGTGCAAGGGCAGGGAGAGGGCCCTGGGACGCCCATTCTGGGCTGGGGGTACCTTGGTTCAGGTTCCCTTCCCGGAAGCACCATCTTGAGCAGCTCCTGTGTTCCTGTGCTGTGATTAAATTGCTTTAAGGATCTGGACGTCAGACACTTTTCCTCACTGGCGCAACCTCAGGTTTCCCCTGGCAACTATGTGGTGACTGGATGGGAGCAGAGTGTGCAAGGAGCCATGTGAGGCCCTCGTTGAATCATCTGGATCTGCCCAATTAGGCAGCTGGGACTCTGTGCAGCTTCTCACACTCTGGGAGTGGGGAGGTGCTTCTTGCTGTGGCCACGAGGTTCCAGATCCAGCATGTCTCACTCCCAGCCCCTCTTCCCTTCATAAAATGCCCTTCACCAGCTATTTGCAGCAGTTGGAATGGCCAGTGGTTTTTGTGCCACCTTTCTCCATGGGGCATCCTGCAAAGGCGATCCCCTGCGAGCTATGTTTGATGTCATTGGCAGCAAATGGCCGTGTCTGTGTGCCAGGGGCTGTCCGTGCATGGGGTGTCTTTGCTGTCCGTGCATGGGGTGCAGCGATGCCGGGGCTGTGGTAAGGGGGGATTGCAGTGAGCAGTGTGGGAAGTGTGAGTTGGTGCCATGTGTGAGGTGTGGAAGGGCTGTGTTATAAATGAGGAGCCAATTTGATTAATAAAAGAAGAAATTTATTCTATGATCAAAATACAATCGTAAAAAGAAACCATAAGCAAAAATCAGTTGGGCGCTGTGCTGGGTGAACAGCACCAGGTGAGACAGGGAGGAGGATTTCTGCAGCACTTCTCCACCATGCCTCACAAACTGCGATTGTCCCAGGGTGCTTTTTATATGTTTTCAGGCTTTCTGGGGGTCCTTTGGAATACACTTCTTGCAGACAAATATTCATGCTGTTTTGGGTGTATATGCTGTAATTTTGTTTGGTTTCATGGAAATACACTCTTGCAGATGAATATTTATGAGTGCATATTGTTACAATCTTATTGGATGGAGGTTTCATGGAAATATGCCCCTTGCAGACGAATATTCATGTTGGCCTTGCTGCATATCACTATAATATTGTCAGGGAAGGTTTCCTGGAAATATCCTAAGATACTTGTCAGACAAGATTATAACTTTAGCACGAATTTACTCATGCTATTTATCACAGGCTGTGAAGGGGTGTATGGGTGCATGGCAGGGCCCCGTGTGGCAGTGCGTGCATGGAGCAGCATTTTGCTGGGCAGCGGGGAAGTGTCCTGGGTGTCTCGGGCCAGAGGGCAGACACAGGGCAAATGCTGCACCCCGGCTCGTTGGTCTAGGGGTATGATTCTCGCTTAGGGTGCGAGAGGTCCCGGGTTCAACTGCCGGACGAGCCCTCTTTTTGGATACCCAGTACCTCCCTGCCAACCGGCTGGTCCCCCCAACACCAGCGGTCAC